AAAGATCAAGGCAAAGGTATAAGTGGTAGGAGCCATTTTGTTTCGGTGATCAAGACACTTAGCGAGTGTGATCACATTTAGGTTCGATAGCCGTACTATTAAGAGGGGTGAAACTCGTATCGAAATACGGTTATCAAAGTGCCACTAGATGCTCTAATTCATTGCATATGCATTTATGATCTAGTGGAGTGCTAACACCCTTGAAAACATTTGTGAAAATATGCTAACACATGTGCACGAGGTGATACACTTAGTGGTTGGCACATTTGAGCAAGGGTTAGGAACTTCACTGGCGGAGTGTCGCCTGTAGAGTGCGGATAGTCCGATGGTGCCACCGGCGCCCTAGACAGTAAAGATAGGGCTTCTCATATTGCACCGGACGCTGGCATCTGCTAGACCGGAGCGTCCGGTCGGTAGAAGCGTAAAGATGCTGGCATCGGTATTCGACCGGACGCTGGGTCACTCAGTGACCGGACGTTGGAGGGGTGCGTCCGGTCCTGCTGACATGGCAACGCACAGGGGAGACGTCGTGTGACCGGACACTGGGTGTTTCCGGTCGAGCATGACCGGACGCGTCTGGTCGTGATTTCTCGCTTCTGGATGCTTACTGGAAACGATCGGACGCTGAGGTCCAGCGTCCGGTCACTTCACAGCAGCGCGTCCGGTCATCACTTAACCATTGGGATTGGGCACTCAGTATGTGAAGAGAGGGGACACGTGGCGTGCATCGCGCGACCGGACGCTGAGGTCCAGCATCCGATAAATCTGACCGGAGCATCCGGTCGGCCCGTGTTTAGTGTAGTGAGGAGTCCAACGGCTCTATTTCGTGGGGGCTTCTATTTAAGCCCCATGGCCGGCTCAAGCTCACTCTCTTGACCATTTTGCATTGACATAGCAACCTTGTGAGCTTAGCCAAAGCCCTCCCACTCATCTCCATCATTGATTCATCATCTTTGTGAGATTATGAGAGAATCCAAGTGTATTGCTTGAGTGATTGCATCTAGAGGCACTTAGTGTTCGTGTTTTGCTGCGGGATTTGCTTGTTGCTCTTGGTGGTTGCCACCACCTAGACGGCTTAGAGCAGCGGAGGAGGATTGGCACGAGTTGGTGATTGTTCGTGGCCATCTCCGGTGATTGTGAGGGGATTTGTACCTTCTCCGGCGGAGCGCCGAAAGATAACTCTAGTGGATTGCTCGTGTCATTGAGTTACCTCACTTGTGGGTAGGTTCTTGCGGTGTCCAATTGTGTGGACGAGGTTCGTGCAACACCTCTTAGCCGCCGAACCACCAAGTGTTGGTCGACACAACGGGGACGTAGCATGTTGGCAAGCACATGAACCTCGGAAGAAAATTGGTTGTCTCTTGCCCTTTGGTATTCTCCCGGCGATTGATAAAGTATTTATCTTGTGATTGGTTCACTCCTTTATGCGGCGGTATAATCACCTCACTTACTCATTTACATTTCTGCAAACTAGCTATAACAAGCTCTTTAGTGTAGCTAGAATTGAGAGCTTGCTTTGTGGATTAAGTTGATCTAGTGGAGCTCTTTAGTGTAGCAATTGTGAGAGCTCTTAGTGAGTAGTGACCTAGTAAAATTGTGTGCCTAGTGATCATAACAACTAGAATTGTTGGATAGGTGTCTTGCAACCCTTGTAGAGCTAGAGCAAGTTTGCATTTCACTATTTGTTATACTAATCAAATTGCTCTAGTCGGTTTGTAGATTTTTAAAAGGCTATTCACCCCCCTCTAGCCATATTAGGACCTTTCAGCCGCATTTCTAGAAGTGAAGCAAACGATGGACTGAAGTCTGATGCAATGTGCTTAAAGTCTGGCCAGTGGTTGGAAACCACCCAAATAGGGCCTAAGCCTTCATATTGTCTTTGTGGTGGTATAATGGTTGCCACTATCGCTTTAGGATGTGTTCAGTTTGTGGATATAAGGAACGGAGTAATCTCCTACTAGAAATATTTCTTAGAGAGATGTTGGGGTGGCAACTCACTCTAGAAAATCGACCGGGCACGCTCGTTCCATTCGGACGGTGTGATCGCCGTCACCCTCTCGCACATGCGTGCACATCTGGGATGAGCAGAGAACTGACAAGGCCATGGGCGGGCAGATCTGGTGCCACCCGAGATGGAGCCGAGGATGGGCACGACTAGCGATGGGCAGAGCCATGAGCGGTTGGATCCAGCGTCATCGCGGATGGAGCTGGGGGTGGGAGGAGCCAGCATGGTGGGGGAGCCATGAGCGGCTGTCATGTAAGGGAAGCTATCGTGGGTGAGGTCGGAGCCGCGCAAGCAGTGGCATTGGAGCTGGTTGGCGAGGGTGGCGCAAACCGGTGGGTGAAGTGGGTTCGCTTAGGCATAGTTGCCCAGTCGGGTAATAAAGGGCATCCGGGCGGAGATGGCTTGCTGCTTGGGCCTCGATGACGGCGGCTATTTGACCGAAAGGTGGATCCCATGTGACGGTAGCTAACATATCACTCATCCTATTTGTGTACATCCCTCAAACCATACAAGAAAATGGAACCATTCTATTCTTTCGTCCAAACATAGATATGGAACCGTTCTATCCTTAAAATCTAGCATGAAATCATCCTGTCCTATCTTGCTCCCCAACAAAATACACCCTTAGAGTATGTCACTTGTGATTCTGATACTCAAGTTGGATGCCACAACCTAAACCCTAATCCGGATCTCTCCTTCTCCTTTTTGTAGTGTTGGAGTGTGCTTCGATGGTGTTGTGACAAAATTGATAGAGTTGTGGAAAATTGATTGTGGCTTGTTGCCATAGGCGCAGTCACGACAAACTAGGAATTTAAGGCATGATTCTTATAACTAGCTTGCCTCGCCTTGCTTGCCTCAGCAACCTTTGCCTTGCCAGACCTGGCAAACCATTTCCACTCTCTTATTTTATCAAGAAAAAACTAGCCAGCACAAGTCCCGACGTGCTCTTGTCAGATATATATCCAAATTAGCATCATCTTTCCATATTCTTGCTTGCTGACACCACAAGGTGCTAGACAAAGTAACCGAGCACGCCCTTATTCAATAGGACTAGCCTGCTCAATGTGTCACCTTGAATCGGTGAGTTTTGAGCCCATACTTGTTCCATGTTAGTCTTATGTGTTCCGGTGTAATACAAAAGGTTTATTGGAAAATGATGTATTGCATTGCATGATTGATGATATTATATTAGGTCTTGTTCAGTTGATTCCCTCGTGAGGGGGAATGTAGGGGATCGAAGAGGTATGGTGTTATTTTGACTTGTTAGAGATTTAATCCTCTCCCATCCCTTGCAACCCCTTTCAATCCCCACCAAACCGAACAAACCCTTACATGACCTTTCCAAAATGGCATATACTCCGATATATCCCTCTGTCCCAAATATAAGACATAATTTGACTTGCTATAGTCCTGAAGATCACACTAGGTTTAACTGCTAATACTCTTCTAATATAATAATTCATAATAAAAAAGTTTGCTCACTAGAAAGTATTTCTAAATACTAATCCATTGTAACCACTTTTTCAATATAGTTTTCCATATGATTAAATTAATTGTTGATTAAATACATAAAGTTTCAGTTTTGTGATACTCATGATTTGTATTTTGAGACAGAGGGAGTATATTGTCCTACTTTGTTTCTCTGAAAAATCAATGCATATATTTTTCATATTATGTGCACCGTTTATAATCGAGTTATTACTAGAAAAACATGGTGTAAAAATATACTTCAGTCGCAACTTCTCTGAAAGTCTCAATACAAGACTAGCTAGACATGTTTATAAATGATGCATCATGCATGTCATCCACTCGTCCCCTACCCCACCGGGCGTCTTCGCTTGCACTTGTTAAGTGCGCATAGCTAGTGGCTCACTGACAGGTTGAGCATCCTCTGAAAGACATGAGGAAGGGAAAGGCAACTGGTAACTGATTTGTATAGGAATGCCTTCATGTAACAGAGACCAAGGAAAGTCAAACATGCCTCGAGACTACGCGACATGTCCGATCTCTTCTCTAATGAACCGCGCTGTGGCGACACCGATGGCACAAGATACTCTACACCGATGGAGTATAGTAGGATATAAAAAGCTCAGACGGCGTTCAGTTTTTCAGCTGCCGGCCTGCATGTCACAAATCTTTTTATTAATATAATATTCTACTAGAGGAATAAAGTTCCTTTACATATATCTAAGAAAAAGAGATCAAGGAATATAAAGCTGCACACGCATGAGTTAGAGACATGCCAAAACTGATATGTGGTTGCTTAGAGACATAGAGATACAATCGAATCCAATATATGGATACATGCTTTCTTTGCGACGACACATATACACAATTGCGTAAGCAGTGGACCACTCTTCACAGATGGAACAGAAAACATGTTCCAACACAAGACATTGCGTAAGTAACTAGAGATATAAAGTGGTGTGTGTGCAATAATATAATATTTCATACGAGAGAGGGAAAGAGATAGAGAGGGAGCACAAAATGATGGTAATGTATCAGACAAAAAAAAAATGCACATCGTTTTGTTCTCAGTGAGCACACCGATTGTAGTAGTATTATCACAGGCGGGTTTAGACATTGAGCTAATATTTGCATTGTTATTCTGGGTAAATTTTGGCAATAAAATCACAGATCTCACAACTTGTGCCACCTTGTTTCGATTTCTTATGATGAGGGGCAGAGCCAACAAAAAATCCATATTAGGGGACCAGATAGTTATATCATGGTTCTAAAAATTTAAATTTATTAATATATTATAAAAAATTAAATTTATAGTATTATTATTTATCTAGTAAAAATTCTATCTACACTATATTGATGTAGTATAGTGGAGGGCTTGTCCCTTCTCAGGCGCCCCTCCCTGTCTCTACCCCTGCCTGGCCTAATATAAATACATGGTCCATCCTTATTAGCCCCTTCTCTTCTCATCAGTCCACTGTTGTCCCTCATCAGTCCACAAACAACAGTGAGTGCTCCAATAGTGTAAGCCATGCTGAACGACTCGCGCGCTGCGTTCCCAAACAGGATACGGGCCTTAGTCGTCGACAACGATGCAAGGTTTCTTAGATCGGCCTGCTTGATGCTTTCTCTCCTAAACTTCCGAGGTATTGTGGCCTTCTTCTCCCTTGTTTTTTCTCAAATTCAGATGCACTTGTAGGGTACACATGTGTGATTCGTGTTTGGCTGGAAAGTTTTTTTTTTTTTGAACAAGATCCGCATACAGTTGTGTTCTGTGTGATCCAGCTCGTTGGGTATGTTTGAGAGCAAACTATGTTTTGCGCATGCATAGTGATTACGTTTTCATCAGATCTGCTTATTGACTAGTTTACTTTCATGTCTGAGCTTGCTATATCTCAATGTTTCTGTGAGGTCCAAAAGAGGAAGATGTTTCCTTCAACATGTATGGATGGAAGTTCTTAGAAGTGCTATGTGATGCTGCTATAATATTCTATTCATTAGTTGTTCATGTTTTCTTCTAGGATATGAAGGTAGATCACGTTTTATTAGACCAAGTTTCTTAAGATACTCCTTAGCATGATCTTCCTTGTTTACCCAAGGAAAGTTTTTTATGAAATTCAAATCAAAATCGCGCGGGAACGCTCTTCGCGCCAAATTTCTTAAATATTTTACCGTTACCTTTTCAAGAAAATTAATTTTTATGAAATTCAAATCAAAATCATGCACGATCGCTCTTCGCGCCAATTTTCTTAAATATTTTACCATTACCTTTTCAAGAAAATTACTTTTTTATGAAATTCAAATCAAAATCGCGCGGGATTGCTCTTCGCGCCAATTTTCTTAAATATTTTACCGTTACATTTTCAAGAAAATTACTTATCTATTATTGTAGTTTTCATTACTACAGTTTAGTCGTGTGTGTTGTTTTTGTGCCTACTCCAACTTTTATTCAATATAATCTTTTCTTTGTCCAGCATAATTATACTCCCTAACTTATTTGTAGATTATTCTTGTTTTCTTCTAGGATATGAAGGTTAGATCAAGTTTCCTACCATACCCCTTACCTTTTTTTGGGGGTCGGGTGGTGGGTGAGAAGACATGATCTTTGTTCGGGGAAACTTATTTATTATAGGTGTTCTCAATAAGTAGCCTACTGTTTTTTTTTGGGAAACTCAGCAAGGGAATTGCTGCGCAAATTTATTAGAAAGCAAACGGAGAACACCAAAAGTAAAGAAATAGAGAAACACAAAAAAAAGGTACCACACACTGTATACGTTACTCACTTCACTTGTCTCTCTTTGCAGTGGCTACATGCGAGAGCCCAGCGTCGGCGGTTAAGCTCCTCAGCGGAAGACTCAAAGACGGCGATGTTGTCTTCATCGACGCTTTGAGAGCCGCAACCTGTGGCTTCGACTTCCGTGGAATCGTGGAGCGCCATCTGTTCACCCCAGTCATCTACTGTAAGCGCTGCACGCACCGTGCGTTGCATGAGGATCGATCGATCATGCAGCGAAACAAGAACAGGATATTCATTTTGCTTTGTGTGGAATGCAGTCTTCTCTTTCGATTACAAGGTCGCCGGCGACGTGGCTGAGGCTCTGCGACGCACTGTTTGGGCTGCTACGTACGTGATCAAGAAGCCCCTCGACGCCGGCGACATCTGCAGGCTGTGGAGGATCATCCAGTGGTCCAAGGTTTTGCTGCGGTGCGGGGAAAACACATTGCCGTGGCTGGAATGGCCTCGCGGCAACCATGCGCTTCCCGACACCGTCGAAGCACTTTTGCCCAGCTCCTCTACCTTTGAAGACCAAGGGGAGGAGGACGACGGCTCCGACCTTTTCAAGGTGGTGAGGGTAGGAAGAGGCAGGAGGAGGAAGCTGGGTGATAGCCACGACGGCGGCTCCTCCTCCGGCGACGGCGGCGGCGTTGCAGGTTCATGTGAAAGTAAACCATTATTTTGTATTAATGAGTTACCACATAATAAGCTACTTTAATCATGCATCTCTCCCTGTTTGTCCCTTGTCCCTTCACAGTCGGAGGCCGGCCAACAAGGAGACTGGCGGAGCAAATGAACGTGAGAGAAGGGCAGGAGAGTGATGAGGACGACGTGGTTCCTAGCTACCAACAGGTGACAGTTTCATCCAAAATTGTCGTTTTGTCCATTCGTACCTGCATATTTCCTTTTCCACAGTAACATATTTTGACAGTCACTGGTGAAATTTGGTACTGCTGAAACCAACTCGGACCTTCTAGTAAGCTTCCTTTTGGTACTGCTGATATACAACATTCTGACCGTCCAAAATATATATGAAACATTCTGACAGTCCATATTTGGTACTGCTGATATACTACAACATTCTGACAGTCACTGCTGAAATTTGAAAACTCACTGAAAGTAACTTCTTCATTTTGACATCTACATGCGTTAATTATAGTTTACAACAACTAACTGCTACCAATCATACATATAGGCATGGTTTAGTAAACTTTAACTCATTGACGCAAGACTATCTCCCAGTATCTCCTGCTACTGTTAATTCATTGGGGATGGGTGGGTTTGGTTTTATGGAATGAAGTGGTTCATCATTATCTCACTTTCTAATTTTTATTTGGTTTGCGGAATAGAATGAGTTGATACATCACTATCTAATTCCTCACAAGCAAATATAATTAGTACTAGCGTGTGGAATGAGGTCATTCCACTAAATTTGAGGAACGAAAATATGATGCATCACCCATCTAAAATGGGTCGAGTGTTTTGGTTTGACGAATCAACATATTCTAGATGGGCGTGTGATGATGCATCATGAGTCAATTCCTTAAATTTAGTGAAATGATCTCATTCCTTATACTAGTACTAATTACTAATTTGCGAGGAATGAGGTGATGATGGATCAATTCATTCTATTTACAAACCAAACAAAAAACTAAAAAGTGATATAATGATGGACTACTTCATTCCACAAACCAACTCGGACCTTCTAGTAAACTTTATTTGCCAAAAGCAAATCCTAACTTTGAGTATAGGATTACTTTTGTATGTCTTTTTGAAGTGAGTTGCTTCTCAGATGGATATATATATGAAAGTCATATACTTTTTTATGGTTTTGAGCATGCAGGGAGTTGTAATATTTCAGGTGTCTAAATTTTAGAAAACTTTTAGATAACAATCTTATACAACCAACTAGATTAAAATAAAAACTCACAAGAGATGATTCATATTTTTTTTGTATGGCCACACAATAATAAAATTGCATGTTGTTTGAATAAAAACAAAAAATCAGGCAGCTGAGTTATAGGAGAAGTGAAACAATTTGTCTAATCAGTTCTTGTTCGATCTCAAACTTGACGAGTACCTACTATAAAAGTACCATATAGTCACTGGCTTGCCAAAATTTCTTAGCATATATATACTTTACCATTTTATTTCTTACTGTAGTGTATTGATATAGTATATATATTTCTTCCATTTGTAGCCTGCACAGCAGAACCGACGAGGAGTCCAGGCCACGGATGTCCAGAACCAGCGGCACGGCCGGTCTCTGTTCTTGCAGCCCGTCCCCCAGATGCTCAACGTGCCGCGCAACAACCCCATGATCTCCACGGACGGTGACGGCCCGAGCAGCAGCAATGTCGCAGCCTTCGCCAGAGCCAGCAACACCTCTGCCCCAGCACTGCTGCCACTGCCAGTGTACCCAGCACCAGCACGAGCAACATCATTGGCACCGCATGCAGTGTACTCAGCACAAGCGCCGCCAGCGGCAGGACTCCCGCCTCCGGTGTATCAGCAGCAGCAGCAGCCCGTGGCCGCGGCTAGGGCAGGAAGAGGCCGGAGGAGGAAGCTGGGAGATAGCAACGACGGTGGCTCCTCCGGCCGCGGCCGCGGCGGCGTTGCAGGTTCATTTGAAAGTAAACCTTTACTTTGATTCTTATATTAATGAGTTGCCACATAAGCTACTTTAATCATGCCATGCATCTCTCCCTGCTTGTCCCTTCTCCCTTCACAGCAGGAGGCCAGCCAACAGGGAGACAGGAGCAAATGAACGTGACAGAAGGGCAGGAGAGCGATGGCGACGACGTGGTTCCTAGCCACCAACAGGTGTCATTTTCTTCCAAAATTATCGTTTTGTCCATTCGTGCCTGCATATTTTCTTTTCCTACCATATTTTGTTCGATCTCAAACTTGACGAGGAACTACTATATAAGTACCATATATATAGTCACTGGCTTGCCAAAATTTCTTATAGCATATATATACTTTATTTATTTGGCAATTTCAACATTTATTTCGTACTCAAGTGTATTCATGTACTATATTTCTTCCATTTGTAGCCGGCACGGCAGAACCGACGAGGAGTCCAGGCCACAGATGTCCAGAACCAGCAGCACGGCCGCTCTCTGTTCATGCAGCCCGTCCCCCAGATGCTCAGCGTGCCACACAACAACCCCATGATCTCTGGGGACGCTGCCGGGCCGAGCAGCAGCAATGCCACAGCCTTCGCCGGCGCCAGCAGCTACATCTCCGCCCCAGCACTGCTGCCAGCGTACCAACCACCAGCACGAGCAAGAGCAACATCACCGGCACCGCATGTGGTGTACTCATTACAAGCGCCAGCGCCTGGACTGCCTCCGGTGCATCAGCAGCCCGTGGCCCTCTATGACTTCGGCAACATGGTCGCACCCCCGGCGGCGGCAGTACCAACCATGGCCGCCACCAGTGGACACCAGCCGCCACCGCAGTTCACCCTCAACAACCTGCAGCAGCAGGAAATGTTTGCGCTGCGGAGGCAAGGCGGCTGGATGGGGCGTCGTCGTGAGGCCGGACCCACCATGCTTTCCTTCCAGCAGCCTCGAGCCATACAGGCGCCTATGGCTGGTGGTGACACAACCTTTGGAGCTTCACCTACAGGTGCTACAGATGCAGGAGCGTACGGGGACGCTGCCGTGGCACACCTTCAGTCCCCGAACGTCGGTGCTCAACCAGCTGATAGCTTTGACGATGTGCTCCGAGCCATGATGGAAGAGATGAACGAGAGCGGCACGTTCCCGAGGTCCTACTATGCCAATTGCAGTGCTGAAGCACTCATGGCCCCAGCTACAGACAAGTTACCCGCTATGCAAGCAGCACTCGGCAGAGGCAACTGCAGCAACTACAACGCTGGATCATTCATGGTGACGGATGTGAATGGCAGCAATAGTGCATCATTCATGGCGCCTCAGGATCCTGCAGTGCCAACTGGGAATCAGATGGAGTTGGGAGCACCGGACATCTATGGATCACTAGTGGAGTCTCCAGGGTCTAGTGCAATGTTCAATGGGAATGGTGACATGGCAGCAATGTTTCCTTCTGACCAGTACGATGAGAACGCCGTGTTATCTCTGGACGCTCTTTGGAATTTCGACGACGACGTCCCGATGCACCCTGAAGGCCAGCAGGTTGCTGCAGCTGATAGCACCACCGCCACCAATACTACAGGAATCATGTCAAATGGCAGGGAAGAAACTGGTGGTTTGGGACCGAACTGGAACATGGGAGCTGCTGACGACGGTCTTGATATGTTGGAAGAGTACTTAGTGGACCACAACGCGTCTGATTTCCAGCTCCCGCAAGACAAGAACAATGGCCACCAGTAGTTGGTGGTGCAGCGATGACCCGTAACCTAAGAGAGTATAAGAGTTCAAGAGAGGAAGAGAATTACTCTCCCAAACAATTTAGATTCAATAATGTATAGGTAACTCTGTCTAAAGTTCGGTTTGCTGTAAAACTAGATACTCGGTGCAGGCGTACTTGGCTAAGGGGAGTGCCCCCTGTGATCATTTCCTTTTCATTCATACCCGGTGCAGAATGAAGATGCGTATGCTCATATACTCACACTATTACCTCTATATATGCACACATGCACACCATACCTCTATAATATTTTTCAGATACTGAGGCAACAGATCTAGTATTTGACAAAGACACAAGAAGGACGCCCCGTTGCCTTGACGGACACATTGATTTTCACTAAATATAAAACATTGTTGCTTAGTGGAATAATTGTAGGGAAATCCGAGTACCCATACTAAGTTTATGGACTTTGATTTTCACTATAATTATATGCCCCATCTATTGCTAATGGACACTCAATACACGAGTCACGATAGAAAATTAGACAAACCTTAGAAATTCTAGACAAATAAAACACAACATTAACATTGTTGACAACAATAGGCATTGGATCTAATTTGCTTTGCAATTGTCAATTATTTACCCACATTTTTCCGGTTATGCAAATATCCTATGCTATTATGGTCATATTTGTGGAAACATGTGTACATGATGCCACTTCATGAGAAGTGAATTTATACTTTAACATTGTTATTGCTTATAATGACAATGCCATTGTTGTGTGCTTACCTCAAGTAGTAGCATGTCACAACACATAATGACATATGTGTTTTAGTATAGCTTTTTACATTGTTAGAGAATTTCCAAGTGTGACATCCGGCCTAGTTTGAAATTTGGCCTATAGTGACCCATGTGCATGTTAATGAGATATTGTGGGGGGGGGGGGTTTAGCCCCACGCGCGTTGGTTGTTAATGATGGGTTATACCAACATATAAGGCTTCAAGAGTCCATCCCACCGTCCCCGCACTACTAATTTTTGACCCTATTGCACCAGCAAATTTTTGTTGTAATAGGGCCAAAATTGATGCCGTAGCTTGGTACCGCATCAATTTTCGCGTTTGATGCTAGCCGATGCAATAGCTCTAGATGCAATAGCCTTGTCGCATCGGTTTGCTGTGACCAATGCGAGAGTTCGCTATTGCATCAGCCATCCGTTGTCTCTTGCATCAAAATAGAGAGATGCAAAAGGGTTATTGCATCAAAATTGTTTTGATGAGAGGTCGCTATTGCATCGGCCATAGATGTCTCTTGCATCAAGATAGAGAGATGCAAAAAGGTTATTGCATCAAAATCATGTAGATGTAATACATCTAATTAATTTGATGCAATAAGAATTTCAATTGCAACAGCTAACGTCCGGTGCAATAGACCATATTGCATCGACATTAGGTTCGGTGCAATAAAACCTATTGCATCGACATTAGGTTCGGTGCAATACAACCTATTGCATCAACATTAGGTTCGATGCAATTCAAACTATAGCATCGACATTAGGTTTGATGCAATACGAACTATTGCATCGACAATAGGTTCGCTGCCATTTTATATTGCATCCGTTTTTATTGTTTGTTCATCATTCAAATCTCAGAGCATTAGGGATACTATAATTTTGTAACTTTTTTCGTGCCTTATGATCTCAAATTATTAGCATAATCAGCATGTTTTTGTGTGAACTGAACTAAAACGATCTAGCTCTACTCGTTTTGAAATGTATGTGGACTGGGGCATCTTCTGTGAAACTTTATTTTAAAAAAAATTCTTCACCCTGTTGCCATGCTTATTAACAGTAACATAACCATAACATCATCTGAGGTTTTGGACTTGAGGGCATGTATGGGATCTCACTTGAGTGAGCATGTGTACCTAAATTTCTGATATGCATTTTGGCCTTCAATATTTTTCTTTACAGACCCAATTTATACTTTATCAATTACTTGCGAATTTACTATTTCTGCAGGGAACTAAGTCAAATGGTTCAGGAGGCTCAAGTTTTATACATCAGCCTTGAGCATTGCTCTGCTTAGCTATTGTGAGAATAAATAAACTAGGGCACTTTACTTAGTTGGACTATGACTAATTTTTCACGTAAAAAATTCACTCTATACATGGTTCAGTAGATTGAAAACGTTGCATATTATCTTTGTATCAGATAACTACGTATACTATGACCAATCTTTGCTAATATATCTTAGCATCTTGCAACGTAAAACTTTCGATGCAATAGTGACCATGTATCGCATTGAAACATGCCTAAATCGTTGCAATAGCAAACACATTACATTAGAGTTCACCACTATTGATCCGTTGCAATAGTACTTTCTACTTGCACCCATACTCTAGACCGATGTAATACCTCTTACATATTGCATCAAAATTCGATACTAAGGCAACAAAATTTGTCCGATGCAATAATTTCTACCTATTGCATCTCTTGTTCGAAATCGGTGCGATAGATCATACCTATTGCATCGATATGAATTACTATCGCATCCAACTCCTTCTTGATGCAATAATGACCACCTATTGCATCATATTTGCAAAAATGATGCAATAGCAGCCACCTATTGCATCAGATTTGCATTTGATGCAAGGAGAAGTGATGCGATAGGGTCAAAAATTAGTAGTGCCGGGTTAATCCTTTTACGCGAAGTAAGAACGAAAGCATAAGTGGGGTGGTGGTAGTTGTGGTTCACACAGTGTGCAGAGTGGATCTGAGTCCAAGTTTTCTATGTCGCTAAAATAAAAGGTTTTTTTAGCACCAAAGAAACATTTCTCCAACAATTTTCAAATAATCACTCCTAAAAGACAGAACCTAATTTTACATTAGGAACCCCGACCGATTTTTAAAACACCCAACCGTTTTTATACTTTCTTTCTCTCTTATACATTTGTATCAGAACCATGTCCTACTTCTTATTCTTTCTCACATCCTTCCACCTTAGATTGGCACGATAGATACACGCGTGTATTTATCCGCACAGGGTTGATTTTTTCAAGTGCGAAAAGATTGGGAAATGGTATTGGGAGTTGTAGGAGATGTATTTTTTTAATCTTGCCAAAAATTATAGATTTGGAGGTTGTTTTGGGAACTCTTGGAGATGCTCTTATTGCTTATAATGACAATGCCATTGTTGTGTGCTTACCTCAAGGTAGCACGTCACAACACATAATGACAGATTTGTTTTAGTATAGCTTTTTACAGAAGGTGCTGGGAAATAATTAAGAGAGACATGGACATGGCGTGTAATATAATATTAGGAGAATGGGCCATGGTCTTCTTTGCAGACACAATACTAAAGGGAAGACAATGAGCTGAGATGAGGAATTTGTCTCCTCCGATGTTTAACTTAGCAACAGATGCACTAGACCACATCATGGAGAAACCTAAGCTGAATAGTTTTGTTAAACAGGTCCTTCCACATCTCAGTACAAGGGGCTTTACTCACCTTCTACAATATGAAGTAGATGGCATTTTTATCAGAAATGGATTGTTGAAGACCCTTGAAGACTTATAAGTGAACTAAAACATGAATGAAATGAAGTCAAGATGAAGATGTGAAGAAATAAAGCAAATCCTAAAGAAAACAATGCACCAAACACTTAACGAGGGCCATAAGCCACCGAACAATCTACCGACGAAAAGTAGATACAACAAGGCCAAGACTTGGTGACCTTGATAAGTGTGATGGACTCCAACGAAGACCAATAGAAAACAAGGGCTTTCTTGTATCTAGTAAAATGCTGATGTGTGGGAGTTTTTATTCTCCATCCTTTTATATACCTCATTACTTTGTTGCATTTTGATTGTACATGTGCTTTAGCTTTCCTACAGTTGGTAGGATTAGACTAGGCTGCAAAACTCGTGTGTAGTAGAAATTGCAAAATAAACAAAAACCTAGTGCACATCTAGGTATAATTTGTGTAGGTTTGTATATGTGTAAGTTGTACATAGATTTTAAGTAACCCTAATTCAACAATCCCCCACACCCTCTTAGGGCATGTCACGATCACTTGAGTAATTAATGGGTGATACGGTATACTCCCTTTGTCTCCAAAAATAAATAACTGATGGCGTTTTTCTTGAAAAAGTTATAGAATACTATATCTTCTATTTATGAATCTAGTAACAAATGTTTCATAAGGAATAAAGTAACCAATATCAACATTGTCGAGACAAAATCTCTACAACTAAAAAGATCCGGAAGTCATCGTCTAGTTACTACTGATCGCTTCACCCCTCTCGTACGTAATCGCCTCGCTAATCAGCCCCGCGCCGAATGATGCCTAGCTCCGCAGCTCCCCCGCGCGGTTAGCCGAACCGCCGCCCGCCCGTGCACGCCGCCCAGCTCCCGCCCCCGCCCCGCTCTCCGCAGCCGACGACGCGCTCAACCGCGGAGGGCGCCGCCACCGCCAGCCACGACGTCCGCTTGCTCCTCTTGCCCCATCGCGCCACGGCGTCGTACCTCAGCGGCGACTAGAAGATAGACAAGCTTAGCCTCGGACGAGACCGACGCCCGACGGCTTCCAACCACCTCCGCCGGAACCCTAGGGCAACCATGAGATGACAGCATCGTCGTCGCACCGCCCCCTCCCTGCGCCCCTGTCCCGGCCATCGCGCGTCGTCGCGGCTCCGGCGCTCCGTGCCTCTGCAGGACCGTGGCCGGCCGCCGCCTGCTCAGCCTCGGGCCTTGTCCGCCTCGCGCGTCGTCGGCGGCCAGTAACTCCCCCTTTGCCCTTTTGCCCGACGGCCTCTAGCATCCATCCAGCTGACCAGCTCGAGCTCGTCCTCGCCACTAATTTCAGAGGTAATCATCCCCCTGCCCGACTGTACACGAATTATGAACAATAGCCTATTTTCAGTTAATGTGTATTCCAATTGCGTTTTCAGAAAAGAACATTGCACATAACCTGCTGATTCGAACAAAACTGAGTTGTTGTATAGTGGATTGGTTCTACTTATAT